CCAGACCAGTGATAGTGTGCCGAGCAAATGGCCTCACATGCCATGCTTGGCACATATCTGGGGGTTGCTGACCCAATCTAGGTCATTACTTCAAAAAAGTTTCCCTCCCCTCTACTGTTTAAAGGCCAAAGACCCCCGGCCAGGGAGGCCATATAAGGGGGGGCACTTCCTCGCCTTTCTGCCTGACAACCGGGAGGGGAAGAAGACAGCGCAGCTGCTAAAGAAGGCATTTGAGCACGGGCTGACATTCCAGATCAGATCTGATGGCAAAGAAGAGAAAGTGACATGGGGCCCCATTCCTCACAAGACCTCCTTGGAAGGGGGCAAACCCAGGTACTTTCTGACAATGGGGCTCACAGCTGTGGCTCCCTTTTGAAAGAGTGGTACTCCGCCCAACAGACCTGGGTGCTGGGATTCATCCAGGCACCTATTACAGTTACACCACCTGTAACAGGCAGGCAGGCTTGCAGGAAGGAATTAGAACCCCACCCCCATACAGCAGTGTAGCTGAGTACCACAGGAAACCTCAACCTGACCCAGGACAGCCCTCTTCCTTCAGTGGGAGCTGTTGCAGCAACAGGTTTGTCTGATTAGTCCTTACTGAGCAAGAGCAGACAGGGCCTGCTTTGAATGCCGATTCACCCTCTCTACCCCCCCAACTCCCCCTTTTACACCTCTCCTTTCAGCAAGGTGGTGACAGGAGGTAGTAAGTAGTGACTATAGCTGTGTTGCTGGTCTCATGCTCCACTGTGAGAGCTGCAGCCAGGGAAGAGCTGTTATGTTCTGCCTCCCTCCTTAAAATCATAGGGTATAAGAGATGGGCTAGGACAGCTGGTATACAGGATGTGTTCTTACTATTCACAGTTGGCACTGCCTCACCCCACCTGCTCTTTCCTCTGCAGGAATGGCTACCCAGATTCCCAGTACCTCAAGGAGGTCTGCAGGGTGCTGAAGAATTTGGGCATTGAGTGAAGCTCTCCATGCTAAACTCCACATCCTCTTTACCCAGCTGGAACATCTCTGTGTACCAAAAGCTCTGGGCCCTACCCAAGCTTTCTCCTGCACCTACACCTTACAGCAGCCAGCAGCCCCCATCCCAAGGTCAATTCCCAGCTCTGCAGTCCCCTCACTATTGCTGGATGGAAACCAATGCAGCTTGCAGCTCTAGCTGCCACCTAGACTTCTTATGTTAAGCAGCCAAGTAGTAGCCAGGCCCCTAGAGCTGGTTTCACCATCACCACAAAATCTGAAACTATCCTCAGTTTCCAGAACTCCGGTAGTAGGCCCAGCTGGATACAGAGACCTGACTGCAGCAAGGGATGGGCAAGCATTCACCTAGCTGCTCTGCTAGTCTTTTTAAGATCAAATGTAGAACTGCATTTGCCTTCTCCTGGCCAGCAAAGTTGGGTTCCAGCTGGCTGGAATAGTCAGACAGTACTAAGGCCCTGAAGCACTGTCATGCACCTTACTTGTAAGCTTGGGCTGACCTTTCCTTGAACAAGCATGACCTGAGCTCCCTATCCCTCTCCAATGCCAGGGACAGCAGCAAGCCTTGGACTCTGCAGAGGCATGCTCCACAGACAGCTGTCTCCATAGGAGCAGGATCCCTGACACTGGCAGTTGTATTATAAACAAACATGGCTTATTCCTTTCCTTGTTGGTTCTAGTTGTTCTTGTCTTGGGCTAGGGAGAACCCAAGTGTCTGCGTCTCTAGCTGGGTTGCAACCAACTGTTGTAATACAAGGACCATAGACCACTACTTCCAGATTAGGTAGGTAGGCCCTAGCAGGCTACATACAGGGCCTGGGTCTTTTTACTACAGGGTGTCAAGAGAATGTGCTGACAGTTAAAGACTGAACAGTAAAAAGGCAAGGTAAACCTTAACACTTACAGAGCAGCTAAGATAATTTTAGTTAAAGCAGTGATTCTCAACCAGGGTGTGAAAGTACCCTGGGGTGCCTCGATCCTTTCAAGGGTACCACAGGGTGTGATGCGATGTTAGGATGATTAGGCTTGAAAACAAGATTCACAAGATAAACCCAGAGATTTCAAACAAATCCATAGTTGTGGCCTTCTGTTGCAAAAAACTCAGGAAAAAACAACCTATTATTTTCCTGTAGGCAAAAAAAAGGCTAAGAGCTGGCACTCTTAAAGATGTGTCCAAACAAGTTGAGAACCACTGGGTTCAAGTGGATGAAGCCACAGAGTAAGGTTTCCTTTTACTCCCAACGCAGGGCTCCTTTCTTGCTTCTGGGCTCCAGCACCAGTGTGAAGCTTGAGTGAGTGTTACCTTATTTTCTAGCTTATGAAGTCCACTCCTCCTCCTCCCCACAACAATTAAAGTCATGGGGGAAAAAAAGAACCAAAAAACAAACTTGTATTAAATTTTAGTGCAATTATTCCAGTTTTGTGGAGGAAAAGCATAGTTTATGCCCTGGAAAAATATTTCCGAGACATTTGGGCTGGAAGGGACCTCGGAAGATCATCAAG